ATACATTTTATTATTCAGCGTTAATGAAATAGTTATTTATGGTACAGTGGTAAAAGGTGCATTTTATTTTGCGTGTAGAAATGTTGCGGCCCGAAGCCGATAGGGCGTATAACGCAAACCTATTAGCAAAATAAAATCACATTATCACGGGTGCCACGCTATTTTTTTAGACATTAATTTATTTTAATTCAAGAATACAAATCACTGTGTCACATTAAGGTTAATAGTAGCAGATGCGATCAGACGACCGTATCTTGTTTTCTTTGTTGTATTAACAGTTATCTTAAAATTTGAGCATCGTCTCACTTTTAGCATGCTTTGCGTACCGTAACCGCTTTTACTAAGGGCTGCATAACAATTATTTGTAAGAAAACATCAAGTCAGCTGGACATTTTACCTGTGGTTTTCATAGAAAAATCTCTGTTCCTATAGTATGGTCGAGAATGTGGCGACTTCTCAATTGTTCGGCTGAGTTGGCGGATCATTTAAAGCAACAGAGTCATTATCCCTTCTACTCTCGCGCAACATAATGCGTAATTTGTCAAAATACATTAGTATGATTGGAGTTATTTTAATTGTGATGGTACACTTGTCTGATCTGAATGCAATTTTACCTAGAAATACTTCTGCCCACGTTAGTTATTAAATGCCAATTGTAGGTTTTCGGAGGAGCTCCGCCACCACCGACAATATCTTTGGGTTAGATACACTAGTAAATCATGCGCTTTCACGAAAACGGAACCATTTATACTGTAGTTTTGTGCATTTTAAAAAGACTTTTGACTCAATTAATAGGAAAATGGCAAAAACTAAATGATGTAGATACCTCACGTAAAGTTTTAAATGTGTTGCAGAGCTTGTACAGAGAAGTAAATTTCTGTGTCTGTTGCAGCGACGGAAGTACAACGCGAAAAATAAAATTGATAGATAGAGTAAGACAGGGTTGTCCTCTTTCACCGCTATTGTTTATCTAGTTTATAAAAAATTTTATGTCTTGGGTACAGAAAGAGGAGACAGATGCACCGGGAATTGATGGCCTGAAAATTTCAGGATTACTGTTTGCTGATGGTTTAATTGTAAGTTCGGAAAATATCGAGGGTTTCCAGAGGAATTTAAACATCCGAGAAGGGTATAGTGAGGCAGGGGTTCTAAAAGTAAATATTCAAAAAACGAAAAATGTTGTCCTCAAGAATGGCTTTATTTGGAGTAAAAAGGTGAAATGGTAGTATGCGCAAGATGAGATCAATTGTGTCAAAACGTTTACGCAGTGCGCAGGGAACCGGAATTGCCTTTAAAGGTGTGCGATACAATGTTTAAATCGATAGTTCTCCCAGCTATGAATTACGCGGCAGATATCTCGGACTAGAAAGCAGAGAAACAGATTATTACAAATTAGTTCTACGTTGGATTAGATTGGCAGGTGAACAGGCTGACACGCATATACATAGGTGCTTCAGAGTGCAGTTACAGGGAAAGCGACCAACCGTATTGGTCTCTCAAAATTAAACTTTTACTTCAACGCGTAGATCTCGGAGACGTTTCACCAGATCAATAGGGGATTCGTATGGGGATCACGTCAGGTAGAACAGCAAATCTCTCGTAGACTTGCGGATATTAAACGGCAAGATATCGTGGCAGCAATGGCCCAAAAGCGTTCGCTAGTGGCACAAACTCACACGAGCCTAGTATGGAGTTGTGAAAGTTACGTTAACACATTTCGAAGGGACCGAAGAGGGAGACACGCTTGGTACTGGGTCGAAGGGGTGTGTGAGGATGCAACGTAGATTGAAAGACGCGAATGTTAATAGTATCTGTGTGCTTTGCGGTGATAGGGAAGATTGGATCCACATCCTTTTAAATTGCTGCGTGACCGAAACATGAAAACGAATACGGATGGAAATGGGAATCTACTACTTCCAATATAGAAACGTAACGCTCGCCCAGAACATATTAGGTGATAGGTCTCACTTCATGAAATAATTAGGAACATTTCTACAAAAGGTTCGGAACATTAGGGAAACGGAAATTAGGGTGGGGGAAAAGAGCACGGGTTAGCACGAGCAGAGCCTAGACGGGAGAGGAAATAAATAAGTTAAGCAAATAATTAATAATTTAATCAAGTTTTAAGTTAGTAAACTGCTAAGTATCATTCATAGTCAACTGTTGAGAAATAAGTAAACCAATAAATTAAATAAAAAAATGAAATGAAAAAATGAACGGTCAATACTTAAATAACAACAGTATGAGGCAGAGAGGAGAGAGGAGCCCAAATGTAAGTGCAGAAGCGTTAATGCGGTCGATTTGCTGTGGCGCTGTTTGATTTCAGGTGCTGAGGAGGCCAAAGACTGGAGGGAGATGACGTCCGCGCCAGGAAATAAATAAACAGTTAAGAAAAAGTCTGCTAGAGTAACATGTACTCGTCTTCTGGCGGCAGATTTTTCCTCCTCCAGAGGTTTTTTCTTCAGCTGTACCTTAAGGTCTCTTTTCCGCGTCTTCAATGTGATGGAGAGACCATTTGGGGGTAAATAACAGATTTCGAAAGGCTAGAACACGGTAGGATATAGAATTGTAATAGCTTAAAGGCCTTCGGTCTAGCCACATAGTGACATGTTTTAAGTGTAATAATTACCTATTAAATAAAAAATATATCACCAATTAAGTTTGGTCTTATTTTCTTCCCAAAACCGCATCCTGCAATGCAATTTATCGATGTAGAAAACGTAAACATTTTCGTTCTTCAAAACTCATAATCGTCAAGCTCTTCAATCAAGGAAATGATCAAATAAGCGAACGAAACATTATACCGTTCTGGTTTTCACCCATTCATTTAGTACTCCTATTATCAGAGAGGATAAAATTCCAACCACCGTTCACTCTCTCTTTTGATGCACTTCTCACAGCAATAAAATGTATGAGAAACGGATAAGCGTGTGACCTAGATAGTATTAATGCAGAAGTTGATAAATACGAAGACCGAATACGAAGTGCGAATTCTGACTTTTGCATCTTAGACAATGAATGTTGGAGAAGCTTCAAATACTGAACACCTTGAAACCATCAAAAGTCTCTGTTTAAAAGGAATAGAGAAACACGAGAATTATTAGCCTTCTGATGCAGCTTGTAAAGTTTATGCAAAAATAATTAACTCCCGCCTAAAAACGTAGCAGAAGTCTGTTTACAAGACCAAGCTTGATTACAAAAAGATCGCTCTCATTGTGATAATATTTTTATTATTAAAGGACTTAAAAAACGACGTGAGATAAATCTCGGAACTCTTTTAATTTTATTGACTTCGAAACAGCATTCGACATTGTTGACAGAAATAAATTATGGAGTATAATTAAGAATAGCAATTTCCCTAAAGAAATTTCTAAAATAAATATTCTAAAGGAATGAAGAGAGAACGTTTTATTAGTAGTGTAACATAAAGGACTGGCGAAATTGTTGTGAAATGTAGTATAAAACAGGGATACAACTTGTCTCTAATATTATTTAATATGTACATTGAGGATCTGATCCAGATGTGGAAACTCGACATCAGTCCTGGAATACAATTAAGCAGAAATAAATTCTTACAATTTATGCTGATAACAGTTCAGGAATAAATTGAATAAAGGTTACTAAGAGCAGTACACAAGCTACATAAACTAAATGTTTTGGGTCCCCGAGTATAAACAGTACCTTCTTTCACTGCTAGAAGGCGAAAGAAGTACAGCGTAGTCTGCGTGGTCAGACGTAAGTGCGGGTCTATGGTCTGGGTCTCGCCAAGTAAAATTAGGCATAACTGAACTGAATCTTAAACTCGGAGAACATTAATATAATCTCATATTCTCAAAAACTAATTGTCATGTTCCACTACACAAAACCCATCGAAATCCATCACATCCTTCCAAAATAATTATCTATGATGAAACTTTAGAACCAGTTTCTCATTAGAATAATCTTGTATGTGAAATTAGTTATAACGCCGATAGGTACATTCTAAAAAATACTAATATATTATATTCGTTATGTGCGATGATATAACCCACATAACAAACAACTCTCCATTAGAAATAATGAAAAGACAAAATATAAAACTTTACAAAACAATAGGTATCCCTCTTCTTTTATATGACAGTGAATCGTGGATACGTAAAGAGAGAGTGAAACAAAATCAAAATCCAAACAGTTGAAATGAGATTCCTCAGAAACGTTAAGGTCAGCACTAAATATTAATAATTATAAGAAATAAAGATAACCTGAGAATTGAAAACGTAACTGAACAACTGGAGAGTTAAACATTCGTAGGGAAGACTCATTCGAAGAATGAATGCCAACAGAATTCCCCATTTGGCAATGCGTTCATCTGGCAAAAGAGATGTCGGAAGAAAAGGTAGCAGACAGAAAAAAACGGAAGAGAAATGTAAAGGCATGTAAACCAACTCCTTCAAGTGAAGAAGAAGAAAGAGGAAGAAGAAGAAAGAGGAAGAAGAAGAAAGAGGAAGAAGAAGAAGAAGAAGAAATAGAAATAGAAAAAGAAAAAATGGGTTGGTGTTAATTTCCCGAGAGGGGACGTGAAGTTGTTCTCTTAATGCTTCTGATCGACAAAGGGATTTCGATATTTCTATCGAATTTGTTTTTTAGTCAGACACTAGTAAAAGCGGTTCTTTCAGAGCTTGCGTAGCTTGCTGAAAGTCAGTCTAAAATCCATTCGGCCTATCAGGCGCATGTCAGAATATTTCCTACTCGCAAAATAAAATGTCAGTTTTACCACTTGTATCATAAAAAACAGCTTCAGCACGCATGCTTGTACCTACCTATCTTTATAAATTGGACAGGTTAGCTTGCAGAACCTTGGGACCTATTAATAAATCGATTTCGTTGCACAATCACACAATTACAACAAAATTAGAAGTACTTTTCACTCTGAACGGTAAATTCAGCCGTCTCTTGTAATATTAACCAGATTAGAAAGTAATATTTAATTGGTTTTCATTTTCTGTTCAAATCAAGTTAAGTTTCTGTTAAAAGAAAAGTGTACACTTCCAGTTAAATTGAAAAGTCCATTTGAGTAATTTACTCTGAATCAGAAATGTTGTATATAATAATAATAATAATAATAATAATAATAATAATAATAATAATAATAATAATAATAATAATAAAGGATATTCTGTCATAGAGTTTGGCAGTAAAGACACTGTAAGCGTAGCAAGAAAATTGGAAAGAAAGCAATGTACTTCATGAAGAATAACTCAGCAATTGAACTTGTGGAGCTAATTGATATGAATGTGAGACACGAATCACATCACAAAATTATTAACGAAACTCGGAAGTGACAACCACTCCATGAAGAAATCTTAGAAATAATGTACATGTTAGGGAACAACAAAGAAAATCATAAAGTTAGTTAAGATGGGAAGTATGAAGTCAGAATTGGACACAGCTGCCCAAGAATCGGCGTTGAAAAAACAGTGTGATAAAGCGGGTCTCTCAGTTCCCCAGAACAATAAACAGCGCATTTGTCAGGAACAGGTAGGTACTATTGATCAAATCGTTTCAGCTTCATCAATTCATGAAAAGGCCAAATACATGAAAAAGCACGAACGTCTTAAAGAAGCAGGGAGAGAAACATTTGAAATATACAATATGAAAATCCAGATCAAACGTATATGAGATTGAGAAATGTAAGTTCGCATCGATAGTAATCGGAGCTCTCGAATTTGTTCATGCAAAATGTATATATGATTTATAAATTATTATGATTATATTTGTTCATACAAATAGGACACCCAACACACTGGAGAGTCCTGGAGTGACGTTATTAGGAGCAGCTTACATAATTCTGCTCAGTGTATTCCAGAGGCACCGTCGGTCACTGAAAGTGATCCTTAGTACGCTGATTACAACCTGGGGATGGTTCTCTATATATTTGGTTCCTTTAGGGGATAATAATAATAATAATAATAATAATATAATACGAATTAATAATAAAATAATAATTTCTTCCATAACATATAACGAATAAGGAAGAATACCAATAATATATGTCCTAGATTCCTCTGTATAAAAATTGATAATAATGGGTTAAATTATGAGTCTTTGAACTATGTTTTTTTGAAATATGTGATATCTGTGAAATCTCTTTATGGATAGATATCGCGTTCCAATCTGGCAATCCGTACAAAATGAATACCGTTGTTCGGTTTGATCGGTAAGTCGCGTCCTAATTTCCCACCATCGTCCTGCCGAGAAACAAAACATTTCTTTTCGTTCCCGGACCACGAGTTCGCGGGAGGAGGGAGGGGTTGCGGTTTTCGTTCCGGTTCGCCGCGCGACTGACGCGCGCGCCT